CCCGCCACTGTGGATTAGTGGTTAAGGAAGCTTGGGTCGGGAAGGTTGCAGGTTCGAATCCACCAGCTGCCAAATTACCACTGAGATGCTCTGAGCATGGCACCGTCCCCACACACTGCTCCCCGGGCGCTCAAAAAGCTGCCCACTGTTCACTTTGGTGATGGGTTAAATGCAGAGGTCACATTTGGTTGCATTAGTGAGATTACCAACGATGGGTAATCTGACACTGTAGGTGCAATGGGTCGAGTGCAGTCTCAAATTAATAACAAAAATCGGTCTTATTAAAATTACCTTTAATTGTTATGTTATACTAATAATATAGTAATAACGTATTACTTACGGTATTACAAATATACTACAACCACTAGCATTTACAAACAATTACAATATCTGGAGTTTTTTTGGCGTTCTTGGCAAATTGGGTGGCTCCAATGAATAAAGTAACAACACAGACAACACACAGTTTACAAAAATAATCAAATTTATTAACACAACCCTATTACGTAATGATAGTAGTTGAGACATAAACTAAACAAGACACAATAGTGTGTGTGTGCTTGTGTGCGTGTACACGAGTGGCCGTGTAAAAGAGAGAAAGAGAGAGAGAAGGGAGCGATATTGCCTCTTAGCTGCCAAGCAAGCGACTGAGCCCCTGAGGCGTGTTCACGTACGCGACTGCGCAGTGCAAGAAGAGCTGCGCGGTAGAAAGGGGGGCAACAGGAATCACGCGAAGCGGGTATGCGCTCACAGAGGTGTGGAAGGGTGTGTGTGTACGTGCACCAAGATGCGCTCAGGTACAATAAAACAGTGCTTGTGATGTTATCAAAGTATATGGGGGAAGGGAGGCGTACCACGTGGTCTACTCAAGACAAAGGACTTTGTCGGAGTTTTCCTGATCCAAGTACTTCATAACGTTACAAGTTAACACTGCAATATTGGTGGTGTTCAAGAGTTTGTTACACAGAGTGAGACGGTTAGAAGAGAGGAGATGCATGCAATAGCCTAGCTACAGAAAAAGCAATAGAAGTTTCAATGTGCACAATTAAACTGTCCCTAAGTTTAAATAGCACTCAACAATACTAAAAATAAAACTGTGCCCAAATTCTAGCCTTACTTTAGTATGGAGCCCCTAAAGGGACATGGGGGGGAAAAATGAAAAGTTTCTCGTGCACACGAGAAACCGTAGGTGCTTCCTGTGCGTATGCCTCTATACTGAGCTAATTAAGATTATTAAAAGAATGGCTACAGAAATGGACTTATTCTCTTTCCTGAAAATGCGAACTATACCTGATAGTGTCATTAACCAACTGAAAGATGATAAGGTAAAAATAAATGTTTAGTGACGAAAATAAATCTGTCTTGAGCCGCAAAAAATAAAAGCCTTATATAAGCCTTATATGAAGGTAACACAGCTGTAAGTGTACATCTGTATACTTACAGCTGTGTTATACACTGTGTATAAAAAAAACTGTAGTGTGTTGCATTTATGAAATCAATGAACTGCTGCAGAGAACACAGAATTGTATTTCTGCATGTAACAAAAACATTTTGAAAAAAAGACACATGGTTGATGCTTACTTTTACAAAATATTTGAGAAAAAATGGAAAATAATAGCCAATAAAAATATTTTTTCCTGGTTAATGTGATTTTTGCTCCTGAACCTCAGCGCACAGTGTCTGCGCATCAGGGCTGTAAGACGTCACCTTCATCTTCACTGTAAACTGACCTCTGTGAGGCGTGAGTAATGATTGTTTTTAATATAGTTCATGTGTCATGATTTAAACCGGTAATGACCCAAATGCAGGCTCAGACGACGTTAAGTGAGAAACAAGGATTTATTTTGCTGTGGGAGACAAAGGGGAAGGAGAGAGTCCGATAATGAGATGGAGGAGGTCGAGCAGAATCCAGACTTGGGCTCACTCATTACTCAGTTAGCTGAAAAGCTAGGTGAATCCATTACAGCTAAGCTGCAATCTGACAGGAACACACTAAACACTAGTACTCCTGTACAGCCCTCAGAGATGACATTGCCTAACGTCAAGGTGGTCATGCAGTCAGATGCAAAGGAGCCTCCCATATTCAGGGGTGATAGCTCAGACAAATTCACAGTTCATGAGTGGGAAAATCTTATGACTTTTTGATTGAAGGAACTTTTTCTTTTCTATGTTTTAGCCATCATTTACCTACCAGCGGTCAAGAAGTTCAATAAATCACGCTGGTGGTGTAGGTGCCGGATAAATCCGCACTGCCAGATATGTGGTGGGTGTCGCACATCGGCAGATGTAACGCATAACTTCAGTGAACTGACATATTCAAGCATGCCTCTAGCAGATTTTTACAATACACTGCCCATGCCAGAGAACAAACTAAAATAAAATATACATTTTAATGAAATACTCAGAGCCATAACAGAAGGATGAAAGAGCCACATGCGGCTCTGGAGCCGCGGGTTGCCGACCCCTGACCCAGGCCATGAGGTCAGTATGATGTTCATCAAACACTGCCCAGACCAGCCTCTTGCAAGTGTTTTCAAGTTCAAGTCTGCAGAGAAATGGTCGGCATGTGAGACCCAAGAGATGCTTGATGAGCACATGTAGGGAAGGAAAACACGAGCTGCAGCTGTTGGGCCACTTAAGCCGAGCACAGTAGAGCACAAAGTCCATTCCCAGTGTCATGCGCCTATAGCTGATAATATACCAGTTCCAAACACCACTGTACCGTCGATGCCATCTCCGGTACCCATGACTACTGCAAGTGTTGACAATGCCTGTATGAGGAGTTTGGTGAACATCTTCTTTTTCTTTCGGCTTTGTCTGCATGAGGAGTTTGGTGAACTTGTTAGACAAACTGGTCACACAGCAAACACAAGTGCCAGCTAACCTCAGGGCTCAAGCCACAGTGCCTCGCTCTTTTCAAAAGGTGTGCAGGGTTTGTGGGACTTCTGATCATTCCACATTGTCTCACTGCAGGCAAGAGAACAGGTGTTTAAAGTGCTTATCACCTGGTCACTGGAAGAGGGACTGCCCTGATCAGACCAACCAGCGCCGCTCTCAGCCTGCCAACAGCGCTGGTGGACAGAACCAACAGTTAAACTAGAAAACCCACGCCTGGAGAGGGGCGGTGTGGGTATTGTGGATGAATCCCTCTCTGATGCACACGACCCAGCTCATTTATACGAGGACTGCTGTGCCAAAGCACCTAAGGGGACTCGAATAGTCATTCAAGCCACGCAGAAGATCGAAGCTTTCAGTGAGTTGTTTTATGCTCCTGTCCTTGTCAATCACAGTGTGCAGCTTAAAGGCATGTTGGACTCTGGTTCTATGGCATGTAGCATCAGTGAACATGCAGTAGAGAGACTCAGCTCTGCTGGTGTTTTGCCTGAGAAGCAGCACCCTGAAGAAAATATCGTTTTGATTTGCTGTGGTGGTCTGCAGACTCGACCTGAGGGTTTTTATGACTTGGAGATGCAGCTTTACGGTGTTCGCTGTGTCGTACCTACCTTAGTTGTGCCTGGTCAGCATGACGATCTCATCTTGGGCTCAAATATCATCAAACATGTGATTCGTGTCCTGAAGGGTGATGATGACTACTGGAACATGGCATCCAGACCTGAGCATCAGTCTGACCCCGAAATTGAGCATTTCCTGTCGATGTTCACTAATGTTGAGCGCTGGAGAGGAAGTGAGGTTCCTGACAAAATAGGCACTGTCAAGCTCACCCAAGCAGTGACACTCCTACCCAGGCATGAACACTTAGTCTGGGGTAGACTTCCTGCTAATGTGCCGATGTCACCTGGAAGCACAGTTGTCGTGGAGCCAACCAACTCCAAAGCCATGCCACGAGGTGTTCTAGTGGGTCGTCTTGTCACACCTCTCTGGGGTGATAGATGGGTGCCAATGACAGTTGTAAACCCATCCGACAAAGCTGTCACACTGAAGAGAAATTGCAAATTGGCTGATGTGTTTCCATGCTTGGCAATCGAGGATCTAGATGCTTTTCAGGGTCTAGATAAGGCTTCAGAGAAACAACCAGACGCAGACAACACACAACCTGACATTGAGATACAGCAATCTCATACAGAGAAACAAGTACCTGACACACTGAAACAGAAACCCGACTCCTCGCCCAGTGCCTTTCTTGCCGATCAGTTGACTAAAAGCCTGTCAGAGTTAGGCCTAAGTGACATTGACATTGACTCATGTCAGGTCAGTGAAGACTGTAAGTCTCGGCTCACACAGCTGCTAACTGAATATCAAGACATCTTCTCCAAGCACTCATTGGACTGTGGTGAGGTCAAGGGATACACACACCGCATTCATCTCACCGATGATCGCCCTTTTCGCTTGCCATACAGGAGAGTCCCTCCAGCCCACTATCAGAAGTTGAGGCAAGTTCTCACTGATATGGAGGAAAAAGGGATTATCAGGAAGTCCTCAAGCGAGTATGCTTCACCACTGGTGATGGTGTGGAAGAAAGATGGTGGGTTGCGGATTTGCACCGATTTCAGGTGGCTGAATGCCCGAACCTTAAAGGATGCTCATCCTTTACCGCACCAATCTGACTGTCTGGCTGCTCTTGGTGGCAATTGCCTCTTTAGCACGATGGACCTCACTTCTGGCTTCTTCAACATCCCGATGCACGAAGACGACAAGAAGTACACGGCTTTCACGACTCCCCTTGGACTGCATGAATATAATCGCATGCCACAGGGACTGTGTAACAGCCCAGCGTCCTTCATGAGGATGATGATTGGGGTCTTTGGGGACATGAACTTCACCAAACTCCTGTTATCTTGACGATCTTCTTGTCTTAGCACCTGATGAGGCCTTGTCCAGACTCCGCACAGTGTTTCAGAGGTTGCGAGAGAACAACTTGAAACTGGCCCCTAAGAAGTGCCATCTGCTTCAGAAACAAGTCGGTTTCCTTGGCCATGTCATTAATGGTGAGGGTGTGGCCGTCGATCCTGCCAAGGTGGAGGTCATCACTAAGATGACAGTACGAGACCTCATGGAAGACGATAAGTGCACGCCTTCTCTCCGGAGAATCAAATCATTTCTCGGCATGGTATTTTACTACCAGCATTTCATCCCAAACTGTTCCTCCATTGCGAAGCCCTTGTTCGCACTTACGGCTGGACAGAAGAGACGGGGACGGTCAGCTAAGGATAGGAAGCCTCTAGGTGTCTATCGTAAGCTTACAACTGCAGACTGGTCAGCGGAATGTAGCAATGCTTTTGACCAGTTGAAGTCCATGCTGTTGGAATGTGTTGTGCTGGCCCATCCGAACTTTGACGAGCCATTTATCCTATCAGTTGATCAGTTGGATGGATTTGGAGCGGTGCTCTCCCAAGTACCACAAGGAGAGTCCAAGGCCAGACCTGTTGCTTTTGCAAGCACGACCCTCAGAGCGGAGCAACGTGAATAACCATCTACCAGAGACCTCATGGAAGACGATAAGTGCACGCCTTCTCTCCGGAGAATCAAATCATTTCTCGGCATGGTATTTTACTACCAGCATTTCATCCCAAACTGTTCCTCCATTGCGAAGCCCTTGTTCGCACTTACGGCTGGACAGAAGAGACGGGGACGGTCAGCTAAGGATAGGAAGCCTCTAGGTGTCTATCGTAAGCTTACAACTGCAGACTGGTCAGCGGAATGTAGCAATGCTTTTGACCAGTTGAAGACCATGCTGTTGGAATGTGTTGTGCTGGCCCATCCGAACTTTGACGAGCCATTTATCCTATCAGTTGACGCGTCATTGGATGGACTTGGAGCGGTGCTCTCCCAAGTGCCACAAGGAGAGTCCAAGGCCAGACCTGTTGCTTTTGCAAGCAAGACCCTCAGTGCGTCGCAACGGAAATACCCAGCTCACAGACTGGAGTCCCATGGTGGTGTGTGATTCAGCTGAGATCCGAGCTATCTGTCAGGCACACTGTGACTGGATTGATGCAGCGGAGTCCAGAGCACTCTGTCTGGCCCAACATGTCCAACAGCTGTCGAGTGGTCAGGATGTTTCACCCATGTTCTCTGCCCAGGAGCTGCAGCTGAGTCAAAAGCAAGACCCCTGCATCTCTAAGGTGTTGCCCTTTGTTGCAGCCAGGAGGCGACCATCTAGGCGTGAAAGGCATGGCGCTGACTTAAAAGTCCTCAGGTTGTTCAAGCAATGGGACAAGCTGGAAGTCCATGACAGAGTGTTGTATCGGGTGACGAGAGATCCCGTGTCCAAGCAGAGAAGATCTCAATATGTGTTGCCTCTGAGTCTAAAGGAAAAGGCATTGTCAGGCATTCACGATCTGGCAGGTCATCAGGGTCAGGACCGTACTCTCTCATTGGCAAGGCAGCGATTTTACTGGCCTGATATGGAGAGGGATGTGAGAGCACATGTCAAATGCTGTCAGAGATGTGTGTTTGGAAAGTCACCAGAACCCGCTGCTCGTGCACCCTTGGAAAGCATCAAGAGCTCCGCTCCTATGGAGTTAGTGTGCATGGATTTTTGGTCGGCGGAGGACAGCAAGCAACGGTCTGTGGATGTCCTAGTGGTCACCGACCATTTCACCAAACTTGCTCATGCATTCCCTTGTGCCAATCAGACGGCAAAGCAGGTCGCCAAGAAGCTCTGGGACAATGTGTTCTGTGTTTACGGTTTCCCTGAGAGAATACATTCCGATCAGGGCACCAATTTCGAGAGCAAGTTGATTGCAGAGCTCCTTCATCTGGCCGGTGTTGCAAAATCTCACACAACAGCCTACCACCCAATGGGCAATGGGGGGACAGAGCGATTCAATCGCACTTTGGGCAGCATGCTCCGTACTCTTCCCCTTAAGGAAAAACATCAGTGGCCACAACAAATTCAGACTCTCACGTTTGCCTATAATGCCACCGTTCATGAGACTACGGGTTATGCGCCCTTCTTCTTGATGTTTGGGCGTGTACCCAGATTGCCAGTGGATATTCTGTTTAAGCAGGCGTTGAACGATCCAGGAGTTGTTGACTATGACTCATATGCCAAGTCCCTGCTCTCCTGCCTCAAAGGTGCTATGGAAATCGCCCAGAAACATTCTTCCACTGAGCAGCAACACCAGGCCCGGCAATATAACAGACGTGTCAAGGGTACCTACCTGTCTGTGGGAGATCGTGTCTTGGTAGCAAATAAAGGAGAACGGGGGAAGAAGAAGTTGGCCGACAAATGGGAGGATGGAGTGTACACAGTTGTTGGTGCAAATCCCAATATCCATGTCTACAAAATACAGGATGCAGAGGGACACACAAGAGTTGTGCACAGGAATCTTTTGTTGGAGGTCAACTTCTTGCCACTCTCTGGGTCGGATGAGAGCCAGAATGCCCATGCAAATGATCAGTCTTTGACCAGTGAGGAGTCTGATCAGGAAGACTGCGACTGTGGCGATGATGCAGCCTCAGTGTCTGAGTTATTGACCCAAGATGACAGTGCACAGAACCTGTCTAGTTCCGGAGATGGAGAGAGGCTTGCAGTTTTTTCACCTGACGTCCCGGCTGAATCTGATTCGGCTGATTCAGAAGAGCTGGTCCAGTCTACTCCTGTACACAGTCCTGCTGGTGCCATTGCTGACTGCCCATCCATTTCACCTGCACCACCCTCAGACACTTCACACTCACCACATGCTGACGTCTTGGTTCACACTGACCCGCACACACACACTGCAGTTGATGGTCATGTTAGAACACGTGCAGGGAGAGTAGTGAAATCAGTGAACAGACTGATCGAATCCATGGTTCAGAAACCATTTTTGAGGGGATCAAACATTTTATTTAGGAGCCGTTCCCAATCTTTCATTTCTTTGTAGAGATGTGCCTTCATATTTGTTGGTAATGTTATTTGGACATGTTTTTTTGTTGTTGTTTTTTTTTAAGGGCTAAGTTATGAGCGTTGCTACATGCAAATGTCTGTTTTTGGGCCAAGTGTTGTGTGGCGTATCAGGCGTCACATTAAGCTAAGGGGATTCAGAGATCTGATCAACCTCTTTCTTCCCTGAACCTTGTATGTGAGGTAACTTTTAAGTTGACTGTGGACTAGGTCCTTTGTTTCATTTGTGCCAGATTGTGTCAGTAGTAGACTTATTGTACACTCTTTGCAGTCCTGAGTCTTTCCATTATCAGGATGTTGGTGAATTTCAGGAGGGGTGAATGTAACCAGGTTGAAATTATAACTTTACTTTTACATTTGAAATGTCACCAAATCCTGATGAATGTTGTTTTCTATATGTTTGAGATGTGTTTTGTTGCCTATTTCTATGTCTAAATGTTGTATTCAGGTCAGGGTGTTAAGACCTGTACTGCCACTTTAAGAGATCGCAGGTCTCGTCGTCATCCGGGTGCTTCTCTCAGTTCGCGCCAGACTAGCTGAGAGGAGGTAATGTTACTATTTTGCTCGTCACTTTTAAACATTTATTTCGGTTTTTGGACAATGTAAACCTTGTTTTATGTATGTATAAATGTTCGGTTTAGGTTGTAAACATGCAGTTAATGTGCCAATTGAATATAAAGCTTGTAAACTGACTTTTTGCAAGTTAAAGTAGACATGTTTCCACATGCTAGTCTACAGGGTTTTCTGTATGCTTATTCGCTAACAGGAGCTTGAGACCTGTGTGCTGTGTGGAGGAGACTGCATGTTACAGAGCCTTGTATGTTTTTCTGTTGATTTGTACAGGTATGTGCATTATGTTTATTACAATTCATTTGACATAGTGTTCACATGTGTTTATATTAGTTGTATTAGTACTGTATGTACGTGCAGTTCGCGCCAGACTAGCTGAGAGGAGGAGCTTGAGACCTGTGTGCTGTGTGGAGGAGACTGCATGTTACAGAGCCTTATATGTTTTTCTGTTGATTTGTACAGAGACAAATCCATCGTCCTGCCTTCATTAAAAGAACAACCAACAGCTGGTCGTGATCCGAGTCCTTCCTTCATTCGGCGCAACATAGAACACAACGCAGAATGTATAGGGGTTAACGGACGTGCATCCAACCTGATAGAAACTGTCAAAGACAATGCGCGCCCGTTACA